CAGGATATGTTGGTTCTTTTACAGGAACAATTGTTATACCATCTTCGTCTTCGTATGGTTTCCCCACTTCAACATCTCTGTCTTTGACATTGACAACAACACTTTGACTGTTTGTTTGAGTTGTGAATTTAACTTCACATCTGCCACCGCCATTAAACCTTTTGAAACACTTATGCTTCTATTTTTCGGAAATGACATTTTACTTAGAATAAAAAGATGACGTATTCGGATATCTTATTGAATTGAAGCAGAACAAAGTTTATACTCACAAACAATACAAATACATTGACAGAATAGTTCTTTACACAAACAATGGAAAATGTTATAGAATAGCAGTCTTTGCTGAACCAAAATATTTTCATAAAGCAAAGAAAGTTGGTATAACTGAAATGGTGAAAGTTCTTGAAGCAGACAAAAATATAACTTCAAAAATGACCGATATTACTAAAGGAAAGTTTATAATACAATATTATGTCAAAACTGGCGTACTGTCAATATTTGACGGAGAGAAGTCAGTTCAAGAACAACTTACTGACCTGCTGCCAAAATCTGCTCGATGGAAGCTGTCGTTATGCCAATCTGAGGAGCCCCAGCAGGTTTCATCGAACGAATCTTCAAAAGAGCATCTTCCGTGAAAAGTGCTATTGGTTTTGTAAACTTCTTTGCTTTCAATTCATCTGGACCGTCTCTGTCACCAGTATATTGTATTTGTACAGTACCAACAGTTGAAATACCACCCATAAAGTCTTCTGAGTCAGCAAATGGAATGCCAAGCCAAAAGTTTGAACGGTCTCCATTTGTATATTGAGTTTTTTGACCTCCTGTATGAGTCCATACTTTCACATATGGCATAATAGAACTTTGCATTTCAGGGTTAATGGTTGTTGTGAAGTTGTTGTTAAAGTTCATAGCATCTAATGTCAAGTTGTATGACCTCATATCCTCAACTGTAGAATATTCTTCTCTTGGATAATATTGCCATCTATGTTTATATGATATTTAATACCAGGGTTGTAGAAACAAGAATAGTCATTTATAGTTCGTCTGAACAGTACAAACATAGTATCTGCATGTTTCATTGCAGTTGTTAAAGCAATATCTGTTCTTGCACCTGCGGCTCCTGGATTTTGGTTTCCAACTTCACCTGCAAAGTCTTTGACAGATATTTGGTGTATAGGGAACATAAGTGGAACTGCAATATATTTGGCAGCTAAAGCATTTGAAATATCTGGGTCCAACATATAAACGGCAAGTCTGCTTTCTATTCTCTTGCATTCAAATTTTTCGCATGTGAACTTAACTGGGTCCCAAGCATCTCCAGCAGCATTGAAATAATAGTTTACTTCAGTGTTGAGGTTTGAGAAACCAAAGTCTAAGTCAACTTTGTCTTTGCAAAAGTCACAGAACTTGGCTCCACCAGTTCCAGCTACAGTAATGCTGAATGGGTCTTGTGTTGGTGCAATGACTAAGTTATTTTTGCTTGGAGTAAGTTCAATAGAAATTTTCCTGCCCAGTTTGGCAAGTATCTTAAAAAACCTGAAGATGAGGAAAGATGACAAAGGAACTCTAAGTTTCAGTTTTACTTTGGTTACTGCTGCTGCAGTTTGTCCAGAAAGGTTAACATAAACTCCTGGAACGTTAGGGTCAAGTCTTCTTATTTTCTCAATGGTGGCATACTGGTCTGTTTGTTCTCTAGCTTGTGGTTGTACTGAGTTTCTCAAAGCGAACCATTCATAGTTTGCCCATGTTACTGTTTGAACTAAGTCAGAGTTAGAATATATCTTATATCCCATGAAAACTTCTGGAGCATATTGGTATCCGACATAGAAAATTCCATTGCAACCTTTCTTGTCAGACAACTTGGCAGAAGGTTTTATTTCAATGTCTTGTTCCACGTATAAGAATGAGTTGTCAATAGAAATAATATGAAACCTGTCGCAAGCAATATCTACTGTTGTTTGAAGAACCTTCTCCAAACTCACCTACGTTTCCATAAAAACAGCAGTTGTATATTCGTAAGTTCCAGGAACTATTTCTGACCTTCTAATGGCATTGTCGCATTCGTTATACCATTCGGAAACATTTCCGTTCATGGCATCCAAAACTGTTGGCGTTATATTCTGAGCGGCGTACATTTCATATGGGTAAAAATATAGAATAGTTGGATTTATGTGTCATAATAGAACCCACTCGTACCAAGCTTTACTTTCTTCCTGACTGAGTTTTTAACTCTTCTTTTTCCTTCAATGCCACTACTTTCACTAGATGAAGTTACTTCTTCACTACTTTCACTTTGTTCTACTCTTCTCTTCTTCTTTGGTGTCGCTTTTGGTAACTTGCCCTCTGCTTCAAGTTGTTGCATCTTTGCCTCATGTTCACCTAGTATGTTGTAAATTTCCTATGTCCTTTTTGCCTTTGGGCTCTGGTCGCCCATCTCAGGTAACCTATATCCTAGAAAGATTTTGTCATAGTTTGTATTTGAGTCTTCGCGTATTGTTTGCATGACTCTTTCCTGAGTTTCCGGTTCAAGCTCTTCAAACAGAGCTTGTCCATATGGAATAAGCTCGTTTCCAAATATATGTTTTTGTAGCCATTCTGGTTTTCTTTCCATGTTACCAATAATATCTTTTGTGAATGGGAAAGCTTTTACCCAACGTTTCAGTCTTGCGTCATTTATTTCTGTAGTTGGTTTTATTTTGTCATGGAACATGTTTTTCAATACTAACATTTCATTTGGTACTGTCCATTTGAGTTTTCTTAAATATTCATCCCTTCTCAGTTCATTGTCTGCAAAGTAAGTTTTTATGACATTTTGCAAACTTTCGTTTGCAAGGTCATGTACAATAGGTTCTCTTCCTTCTCTCTCCCTAACTTTCTTTCTAAACTCTTCACCAAATATACCATCTCTATGGTTCTGTGTAGTTCTTTGAGATAAATGTTCTAGAACGTCAGGTGTTATATTTCCATCAGCCATGTTCATTTCATACTGGTCCAAAATATCTGCATCTTTCATATCTCTCAATGGCATTAAAGCCGCGCTGAAAATACCCGTTATATCTGGTTCACCATTCACTTCCATTGCGTCTACAACTTCTTGGAATTGAGGTTGTAAGTTTATGAACCACCTATCCGGATTAGCTTTATGACCCCATCTCATTGTAGTTCCATAGTCTGCAGAAACAAAAGTAGGTTTGTTTCCATATTGGTTAGGTTCTGAATGAACTTTAAACAATGTTTCATTTCTATATGTTTTGTTGAAATTTAACCTTTTATTTTCACCGAGTTCAGCCAAAGATTGAACGTTATATGGTCGTAAGTAAAAAGGATTATTGTATTTGCGTACATTATCTTTCAGTACTTCCATTCTATGCTGAATATTTTCATCTGATGTTGGAGTCTTTTGTATGTCGGCGAACATTTTTCGATATTCTTCTACTATGTCAGCCGAATTTTTCTTAGACTCTTGGAAAGATTCCATATTCTCCGCATACACTTGTTGAGGGTCAAGATTTTTCGGCTGTTCCAAATCTTCATCTAGTTCTGTGAAGTTAGTTTCCAAAGGAGGGACTTGTTCGTTTCCTTCAGGCTCTTCTAGCTGTTGTTGCTGAACTATTTCTTCCATGTCTGGTTGTATCTGAACTTCTTCCTGTTGAGTTTCTTGTACCTCATCTGCTGGCATTTCATATATTCCGAGACCGTTTTTAACAAGTTCCCTATCTAAGTCATCCGGACTCATAAACCTTTCTTCTTTCGTTCCGTCTCTATTTTTTACGCGTTTCATGAAGAGAGTTGAATTATCATTTAGCTCTGACACCAAATATCTCGGAGTAAATTCATTCATGTCATTTGGATGATATGCTATTAAATCATATCCCTTAGCGAGCTTGTATTTTCCAGGTTTGAGATTATATCCCATTTGATGCTGAACCATAAAGCTAAATAGGTTCGGGTCAGTATTTCCTTCCTTGAACTTTCTAATAGCTTCTTTATATCTGTCACTAAAGTCAAGAGTATCTGGGTAACCATAATCTTCCTTAAGCATTTTTAAGAATTCTTGGTTTCCTTTTTCTCTACTTCTTTTATGTCCTTGCTCTGTTTGTGGTTGTTGTTGTGCAGGGTTTTGAACTGTTGGTTGCTGTGCTGGTTGTGGAGGTGGTTGTTGTGCTGGTTTTGGTTGTGGTGCTGGATTTTGAACTGTTGGTTGTTGTGTTGGTTTTGGTTGTTGTGCTGGATTTTGAACTGTTGGTTTTGGTTGTTGTTGTGGTGCTGGATTTTGAACTGTTGGTTGTTGTGTTGGTTTTGGTGCATGCCTGTGTCTGTGTCCATGTGACGATGTAAATGTTTTAGGTAGTCCTGGTGCAGGTGCTTCGCTTGGAGGGTTTGGTGGTATATAAGTTCCACCAGCTGGCACATATGTTCCATCTGCAGCATAATGTCCTACCTGACTTTTCGTTTTTAAGAAAGCATTTACTAGGTCTGTTTTGGTCTGTTGTAACTCTTTTTCTTGACTTTCCACAACAGTTGCTCTAACGGCGTCATAGGCACTTTGAACTGCCTGTCTCGTTGCTGCATCTGTTATTTTCGTCATATTTTGTGCTACTTCTCTTAACTCTTTGTCGAAACCTTCAGACTTCAGTTTCTTTCCAGATGAGAAATCGTTCACTTGTTTCACCTTACTATGAAGAGCTTCGAAGGCATTCTTAAAGTCAGCATTCATTAAAGCTTCATTTGAACTGTCTTCATCCGCTTGTATTTTTGTCCTTATTGACCCTATAAGTTGGGCTGCTTTAGCGTTGGCTTGGGCATCTAACCAGTCATTATTAGCTTTTATATATTCTGCACTTTTCATTGCCTTTTGCATGGCTGCGTCGTTATTTTTACTTTCTTGTGCTAAGTT